TCGGGTTAGGTTGACCGTGAACTGGACTCAACCCAATAAGGTCCAGTAGTTATCCAAACCAGGAGAACCAGGTTGGGAGCAAGTTATATAAACCCAAACCAAATCCAGGGGTCCAAAATTTGGGTGTTAGGTCCACCAATTAGAATGGCCACCTTCCCTTGAGTAAAATGGACATGAGATATGTCAAAAGATATTCTACTCCCTCAAGAGTATACTGTCTATTTTCTCTCACGACAAAACTCTACCTACCTAGGATTAGTTTTAGAACGCCAAATTTCTTGGGATATAACTTCTTTAGCACATAAGTTAACCTCAATAAAAAACAATTTTTTAATTGCACCCTTTAAGCACTTGAAAAAGATAAGTCTTAAAATTGAATACAAACCATTCAAGTTTTAGAGGGTGAGATGAGTCTTAGTTAACTTTTTTGAGGTTAATCATTTGATGATTCTAAAAAAATCTGAAGTATATCATCTGAAGCTAAGAGAGTAGAAATAAACTATGCTCATGAGCGTGTATAGTATACGTGCTCATAAAATATTTTAACAATCTTCTATTCCCCCTAAAAATAAGTGTTCAATGATTCTCAAGATCTCTATCATTTTTTTAGCTTCAAAGTTTTAGGTGTTGAAAATCGATTTTAGAACTGGGTCTATGAATATATGTCAAGTGGCAGTGTCGAGGACTGGGTCTTCGGCGCAAAGAAGAAGGACGGGAACCAGCTGAGCTGGGCACAGAGGAGGGAGATCATAGTGGGTGTTGGCAAGGGGCTAGTGTACCTCCACAATGCGGTGCAGCCAGCAATCTTCCACCGAGATGTGAAGGCCACTAACATCCTGCTCGAAGCCGACATGAACGCGAGGGTTGGGCACTTCGGGCTCGCAAAGCAGAACAGAGAGGGGCAGTCTCATCTGACTACCCACGTGGCCGGAACGCAAGGGTATTTGGCGCCTGAATACGCTCTCTATGGGCAATTGACAGAGAAGAGCGACGTTTACAGCTTCGGGGTGGTGGTGCTCAAGATCATGAGTGGGAGGAGAGCCTTAGACAGAAGCGGAGACATGGCGTTCGTGGTGAGCGACTGGGAGTGGGGCCTGATGAAGGCGGGGAAAGTAGGGGAGGTGATAGAGGAGGGGATAAGGAAGGAGGGTCCAATGAGTGTGATGGAGAGGTTTGTAATGGTAGGGATACTGTGTTCTCATGTGACGGTGGGGTTCAGGTCCACCATGACTGAGGCTCTGAGGTTGCTGGAAGGGGATGTAGAGCTGCCCGAGATACCAGACGGGCAGATGCCCCTCGGCATCCATGACTCCTCCTTCAATTTCGAGAACACCTTTGCGTGTCTTCGAGCGTGATCGGGCCTTTGTTGAGGTCCAAAGACATGCCCAAATAGGTAAATGCTATCTCTCTCTCTGAAAGTCAGAAGCGCAAAAATTCCAGTGTAAGAAATAAGAATTACAGTGTCTAAGAAAGAAAGAAATAAAGCTTAGTGTTAATGGCGTAGAGGGCACAGAGTTGTGGTATTGAAAAAGATTTAGCCATGGGAGGATTGAAGTGAATTGTGTAGTCCATTTTGAGATGTGTATTGTGGGAAAGCCATCTTCCACCGGGTTCCTGAAAATTAGCAGGAGAGTTGCAGAAGTCAAACGAATATGGTTTTTAAAAAAGCATGGACAAATTTTTCTACCTTTGGGGAGACAACATTTTTCTTGTAAAAATTTACGTACGGACCTTAGTGAAAATTGTCGTTATTTTGAGGTGAATTTTATCGGTATTTTATCGGTTGGGTCCTGTATTGTCAGGTATATATAGAAAGTTCTTTGAAAAGCTATTATAGCGCGGTTATATTACATTAGAGCGATTTACGTACCGACCTTAATTTTATCGATGTATTATCGATTGAGCCCTTTATAGTCAGGTATTTATAGAAAGTTTATTGAAAAGTTATTATAGCATGGTTATATTACATTCTTTGTCATTTGTCATGGAATAAATATGAGGAAAAATTTTAGAGCGATCTACATGCGGACCTTAAAATTTTAGGTAAAATAGAAAATGATTCACTTATATGCGAAAATTACAAAGAAAGTCGGTCAACCCATTTTGTTCGGTTTTTTTCTAAAATTACCCATAGTCAACCCAAATTTTTATTTTTATTTTTTATTTTTTTTTAATTTTTTCGTTAGTAAGGCAATACCCCAAACTTTAAGAAACTTCCCTAATGATGAAAAAATAAAAAATAAAATTTGGGTTGAACGAAGGAAAATTTTGAAAAAAAAAAAAGAAAGGCCAGTTGACCGACATTCTTTGTAATTTCCACCTATAAGCGGAGCATTTTGTATTTTACCTAAAATTTTAAGGTCAATACGTAAATCACTCAAAAGTTTATATATAGCAAGGCTCTAATCAATCAAATTAGAGCCCACCTCAAAAATTGCTAGAAGAGGTTGTTTTGATGCTCAAATATCCTCAAATTGATCATTTCAACATCAAGATGTATGGACATGAGAAAAAAATGGATTTCAAGTTTTGAATATAGTATGTCTTGTAACACATTTTTGGACCGTCAATTTTCAAGATTTTCAAGCTTTCATAGATCTTCTCGATCTACACTATTTTGGAAGTTTTAAATTTTATAATTAAAAAGAAAAAACATATTTTAAAGCTATCACAAAAATTTCCAGTCTTAAAACCACATTTCTCGACACTATTAAAAAGTGCGCTTTACTTTGATTGTTTAGAGCCTCGGCTCTATACAAACCTCACCCGAGATATAAATACGGGCTTTTTATTTAGTGCCTCAACTCTATCCAAACCTCACCCGAACTATAAATACCGGCTTTTTATTTAGTTGAGTCTTTTAAAGTCTGATCCTATTTAGAAACTCATGAAAATTTGAATAAAACTCATATGAAAATTTGAATAAGTCTTAAATCTCTTTCAATAATTAAAATTTAGATGATAGATTTACAAGGTCTCTTTTTTTTTTTTTATGACAATGACGATTAGTTTCTATATTTTTAAGTTGTATCTAAGTTTCTAAAAAATTCCGCATTCTAAATCATTAAAACGATAGAAATTTGTTGCTTTTGGGTAACTATGTTACTAATTAGATAGGGACCTATTATTTGAGCATTTTCCTCCCAAATTTTAGTATTCAAAATTATTATTAAGTTATTATCATCGAAGGTTATTTTCAGGACAATTAAAGGGTGGCCCATCTTATCGTGTTATAAATTCATTTTATTGTGATAGTTTCAAAAATATTACCAGCCCTTGATTTTCTCGTGAAAAGATAAAGATAAATGATACAAATTATTGACGATAATGTCACAACGGTACGAACTAGTTATTTCTACCAGAATTATGGCCTGGTCTAAATTTTTGAGAATTTTACATGGAGGTCCCACTTTTTGTGTGTGTTTTTTATTTACTTAAAATTTGCCACCTTTCTGATGTTGCAAACACATAACCTGCAATTTTATTTTTTGTAATTTTCTTATTTTTATTTTTATTATTTCTAGGGCAGTCCAATGCTTTGGATAGGAAGACGACCCATTTATGGGGTGGTTTGATATCAGAAAAATTAGACAACCCCATATTTGGCAATTCTTTTTCAAGCGTAATCGTGCAATGTTGGAGGACCGCATTAAAAATCAGAAGAAACAACGGTGTGATATATTTCATATCGGACTACAGAACACATGTGAATTATGTGTGTCTTTTGGGCAATAAAACTTATGAATCTATTTAACGCATCAGTTTTCTTATTTATTTCAAGTTAGATACCAAAAATCACCCAAAAACCTATGTATTCTTTTGCATTTTAATCAATTTGAAAGTTAGACTCATAGACTAGGGGTAAAACAGTAATAAAAATTCAAAATAGCACAAGCTCAACAGAATATAACCCAGAGAATAGACGATGCTGACATCTTTTTTGCTTTTCAGTTGGTAAATTTCTCTAGTTTCTTGTAAAATATGTTGGTGCCAAGGAAGGCACATAAAAACATTGTGCACACACTTCACACATGTGCAAAGTGTTTGTGAGCATGTGTGCATGCATGTGTGCATGCGCGTTGTGCATGTGTGTGATGCAATGATTAAGTTTAAAGCCTCTGACATCTATTTCATTATCTTTTTTGCATATAACAAGATGTGCTTTTAATTTCATGTTACAGAAATGATATGAGGGAATTCAGTATTAATGAAGAAGAGGCCTACATACCAGATTGACTTAGGACTCGTTGCTCATATGGATCGAAGAATCAGGTTTGGTCAGTGCTGGTTCAAATGGATGAGGGAATTCAGTATTAATGAAGAAGAGGCCTACATACCAGATTGACTTAGGACTCGTTGCTCATATGGATCGAAGAATCACGTTTGGTCAGTGCTGGTTCAAATGGATGCGGAACTGTATAATTTCATCAACCAAGGATTAGTTGTCCAGGCACTAAAAAGGATTGAATGTAGTCACACATTGACCACATGTATACAGAAGCATGATGTCAATTTCTTATACAATTATAGTCATTGGAAATATCAGAAACTACTTCATGGTAAGGTATGAGTAAAGGGGCCCTTTGTGGTACCAGATGATGGAATTTTTCCCATTAGATGATCGAAACTTTAGGCAGCTTCTGATTGTAAAAGGTGACGAAAAGTCAACTCACTCACATTCATTATAGACAATTAACTTGTTGATTGGTGAAGCATGTGCCGACCCCAAATCGCTAGAATAAGGCTTGGATGATGATGATTGGTGAAGCATGTGTGCATAAAATGCAGGGCGGGTGGTAATACAATTTGTGAGTGTCTTAGAAAAAAGATTAACAAGTTTTAAGAGAAATCTCAGGGCTACCTTAGGTCTTTGTTAAGAAACATAAAAACCAGTAAGTGTTTGCAGAAGTGGGTTGGGAAGCTTGAGACCAAGTAAGTTTGCAATTGTAATCATCAATAAAACACACTTAAGGATAGTTAGTTTTGACAATCCAAAGATAACATATTGGAATTTCTGAGAACTAAGATTTATATCGAGTGGAGCTGAATTGATAGGCAATTGTGATTGTCTTTTAAAAAGGTTTGGAAATATAAATTAGTGATATGATCCTCGACTAACATTTACATAAAATGAAAATGCAAGGAATCGTGGTGATTGGCACCATGTTGCCCAGTCATATCACGTCCCAACCTACAGAAAGAAAACACCAAATGCACAGTGTCAACTTGGAAGAGACCCAATACAGAGCTTGTTCCAAGGCGGCTAAGAGAATTGTACCTATCGAGGAGTATTATTTAGGACTTGAGGTGGGACAATTGGATCCTTTTCAGATAAATAGGCAGCAATTTTCCTCATGTCACCAAGAAAGTCGTTTCTACCTGAAGCACAATGAAGCAGATTCCATTCAATTAGGGATGTTACTGATAAGCGCAAACTCAAGTTATTAATGTACTCCCTCCAAGGGTGTTCACATATTCTATCAAAAAGCTTTGGCATTTAGCTTTTGTTAGGCTTCTCAGGAGATGCTTCATCCAGTTGTTAGTTCCACAGGAGGTTCTCTCTATTATGTGATAAAGCCGTGAGACAGAAATCGGAATTTCCTTAAGGTAGGATTCTAAGTTAACCTACCCCTATTCTTCATTACATTAACCTTGATGAACTAGGAAGAGTACATAAGAACAACAAGAAACAGTCCATTTATTGAGTCTCTCCAAGATGCTAACCTTAGTCGTCAAGGAAGTAATCCCTCTCAACAAAAAGTACCCACGTCGAATATGTAATTGAACATAAGATAATACAAGTTTCAGTCAGTGTGCAAGGTCCTCCATCAAAATGCACTTAATGTTCTAGGGGCACTAATGAGTTAGAAATTACTGGTTCATCAACTCATTGCACGAAACTTTTCTCGGTGAGATTATTACTTTATATGGAGAGTTTTTGTGGAAGGTGGATAATGCAATTCTTTTGTACACCAGGACATGATTTGCATTCACCTAATCAATGACCACTAAATGGGTTTCTTAGCAGGTTAATTACTCATGAAGAAGAAAGAAAGAAAGAAATCCTAACCTTATCTCTTCATCACCTTCTGGAATATTTCCTATAAAACTTGTTAATTGAAGCATGGCACACGATGTTGCAGTCTGATTCAGGAGATGCAACAACATGAAGTTCTAAGTTTTCATTGCTAATTAAGGGTAATCAAACAGGAATTAACTCTGATAAATCTCAAAAATCTTTTTGTTCTGCACTTTCTTTCAGTCAGAAAAGCATTATAAATCCTGCTAGGGCTATTAGATAAGAAAAATCAAGCAGCTAACAGAAATCGACAGATTCCACAACAAAATCACTTGAGTTCTAGACCATACCCATACACATCCCTCGAGTTCCAATAGAAGGAAGAATTAGCATAAAAGGAGAGAAATTCAATAGGCAGACACATGGAGGGGAAACATTATTGCTTGGGATCCATCCATAAGCAAAAATCTACTAAAAATTTATACAAGAATTCAAGG